AAAAAAATGCTGCAGTGTGTGGGCCAACAAAAATCAGCCCCCACACCATATCTATTCTGAAGTGATAGAGCTAATGTGGATCTCACTGTACACACGTCTCACACGCACAGAATGTTATTCTAGTAACTGCAGTTCTCATGATTCCATGGGAAACTTTCCCAATTTACTACTATTTCAGGACATCCAAAGCAAAACAACTCCAATTCTTTACCTAATTTCCAAAGGTTGACACATATGCTAGTTGGCTTCCCAAAGCATAAGAATGATGAGCAGGTCATATCTCTATAGATATGTGCAGGGAGCAGTGGTATTATTCATCTGCCTTTCTTCAGTAAACAAAGTTTCCTGTGAACATCCCGGACTGGCAAAACATCCTCTCTGTTGAAATGCAGGAACAGCATGTAGCAGTTGCATCAATTATAAATCATTCTGTTTCCTAAATTTGACCCTTCCCCTTGGCACCCATCACAAGACTTAAAAAAATGAAATAAAATAAAATACCAGCGGATCATTTTACTCCCCTGCTTTGCAAATTCCCAGTACTGATAAATTTTATATGCAAGTAACAGATAATTTGTGGCATGCTGGTGAAGCAAATCCATACTCAATTAGCAAAAAAGCAAGATAAAAATGAAAAAGCTGGTTTGATTATCTCATCTACAGAACATCCTAGAGATAGACAAGACAGACCACATTCTAAATGCTATCAAACTAGAACTAACTCATCCTTCTTTAGCATCAGGTTTATTTTGTAGAATGCTAATTGAATATTTTAAATGACAATCTGAACTCAAGAAATAACTGGGGGGTTAACACTGCATCTTTACTTATACTTAAGAACATGAAAAAAGGGTTTCTAGCTGAAGTACTTGAAGCTTAGTCAGGAGGCTAAATCAATTATCAGTTCAGATCTTTAGAGAAAAGTCATTTAAAATGCATCCTAGATGTCTCATCAGAAACACAAAAGTAGTAAACTTTCTTAACCCATTAGCTTGCAACAATACTGCGTTAAGTCCACCTCTGCTTGTTTGTCATTATCTACAATCACCTCACATACAGAAAACACAGATCAGCAGCTGCTAAGTCTCAGAAATCCACCCTCCCCAGTACAGTCAGTGGACGTTCTAGTGTAAAGATATTACAATAGAGCCTAGATTTCCCTAACTGTCTTTAAGAAAAGCTCCCTCAGTTTGGGCATTTTTTCTGAGTGACAATACTTCACTGTAACGCAGAGTTTCTTAATTCAGCACAGAAGTGTCCCTGTCCGTGGTGCTCAGCCTAAATGCCACTGCACAACAGATATGGCTGTGCTTGCTATGGGTCTGGAGCAAGAGACTACAAAACATGAATCAAAACGATAAGAAAACATGACAACAAAATATTCACCAAGTAGTAGCCATACTGTCTGGCAAAAAGCGGAAGACCCACACTTGCCAGCAAAGATAGCAAGATAACAGAAATCTCATCTGAGTCTTCAAAATCATCTCCATAATTGAGTCCCGATAAAAACATTAAGACTGACTCTGTTCCAAGAAAAAAAAACAAACAAAAAAACATGCAGTAGAGTTCAAGCAGACCTCTTCACAGAAAACTCTAATACTTTTTGATTCAGTTTCCAAAGCAGACAAATAGCAAACACTTTGCTTAACTGAGGTTTTGCAAAGCCACAATGTTATCCATGTGCAGACCAGCCCTAGTGCATCAAGTACACCTGTGGTCTGCAGCTTTTCTCCAGTGAAGTATTTCTGATTATTTCCTTTCAAACCTGAATATCAATACATCTTGCCTAGCATGTGAATTATTACTACCTTTACGCAGTTGTAAAAGCACACTCATTTAAAAGCTGAGCATACAGAGCAGTGCCATACACTGGCAATGTTTTGGTCCCATCACAAATTGTTTTGCTTTCCCTGAACTACATGAACAAGTAAATGAAGAACACATCTTCCAAATAAGAAATCATGCAAAGTCCAACAAGTATGCTGGAAGAGAACTTCTAATGGAATCTGAACAGGCAAATGATATATTTCCTGTTTCATCTCTAGTTACTGAGAAGATGTGAACAATGTATGTGACTGCTGAGTCCTCTATAAGGCACAGCAGAATAGACAACTTTGCCTCCTTTGTAGAACTTCTGTCTCTAAAAGAAACAAATTTGGCGACCAAACACTAATATCTTCTCAAATATGAAACAATCTTTTTATGATAAGAGGTACTTCTGATCACCTCTATGCTTTGAGAGACATACAAAGGCAATTAGCAAAAAAAGTATGATATGAAGACTAGCAGTCTTCTGCAACAAACTTTTTACTCACTTCCTTTACATAAAGTTATTTCCATGCTGTGACAAAGAGTAATAAGTTCTCATATGCTCAGTCTACATGCTGTTTAAAACAGGCCTCTAGAGACTACCGTGTCCATACGAATTAATTTGTACCATTACATAGGAGAACTCTAAGGCAGGAAGTGAGGCAACAACATTTGCTCTCTAAACAGACGTGAGAGACGCCTTACTGCACACCTCTCAACTGTAGTTCCTCCAGCTGAGCAAGAGGTCAATACTGTCAGATTACAAGAGCTGTTTTTACCCAGAGGATGAGTGATAAATAACTTGTTTCTATTTATTGAAAAAATAATTTCATTGTGAATTCCAAAACAAGACATTTTTACAAGCCTAGACTACAATCTAAAGCTCATGGTATATTATGGATAAAACTTGGACATTGCACTATATCAAAAAATAGACCATTGGGGAAAAAAATAGCATGGAAGCATCACGGAACTTTCATTAGACATTGAGCTGGGCAACAATCCATGGAAAAATATAAAATTTAGTTGAATTCACAACCCAGTTAATCAGTTCTGAAGCCAATGGCATAATCATTGTGTAATTAAGTAGATTTCTCTCAAGAGTTCACCAGTTCTCACTGCTTTAATAATTTGTGTGTCAGGGAGGCTGAAGAAAACAAGTTGGTTCAGCATTGAAGAGAAAATTTAAAATACATTTTGAATATCATGCAGATCAGAAAATATGAACACCAATGGCAATGTTTAACATCTGAGTGCCCAGAGAATCAATCATGGGTATTTTACAGCATCAAAGTATTGCAACTCATTAGTAAGCAGCTTGATCACATTTTTTTTTCAGTTTTGAAGACTAAACACACAAACATGTGTTATGCATAAGAATTGCTGCTCTCATGCAACACATTACCGTCACATTAATTTAGTATAAATGTTACTACAAACATTTCACAGACAAGTGCCTTCTTTTTTAAATTAAATACACTATGTATGTAATCTTGTGTTTAAGAAAGAAAAAAACTGAGCATTTCCTGAGAAACCACAGAAGATTAATATGCTTATAACCAACAGCACAAGCTCAAGGTTCTTCTGGAAATCCATCTTATTGTTTATATAGATCTTTACCCTCAGCAGTGGAAGTTCACCACTTTATAAGAAACTTACGTTCTTGAGATATATGCAGAATGCTATAGTAATTATTATTAAAGAGCAACCATTTAAATTATTGGAAAAGCTGACTGCAGATGCAAAAATCAGAAACTGATCGATAGGGACAATAATGACATCTAGTGGACATTCACAAAACAGACTGAGACTAGCAAGGAAAAGAAATCTGGTTTTAGCGTTCGACAAGGTGAAACAAATTGCTAAGTTGTAATAAAGAGGAAAAGACAGAACGTGCTGTTGGATGAAAGCTTTTGGTGTGCTGATGCATTTCTTAGCAGAATATTCCAAAAGAGTTCAAGTTTCTTCCATTTAAGATTTAGGATAAATGTTGTGCTGTTCTTTCAAGTTTTGGACAACTACTCTGAGTAAAAAAAAAAGAGCGGAACATAATTCAGGCACACACGTTTACTAAGCTTCCTACTCCCCCTGTATCTACAACATTCTACTCAAACTGTTCTTGTTTGAACTGAGAAGATAGAAAAACAAAAGAGAAACAATAAAAAGCATCAAAGTCCAACTTCAGACCACTATGAGAACATTTCTTTTCCAGTCATTGCCCATCCTTCTCTTACTGTGAGATCTGACACATAAGGGATTTAAGATAAACCTTCCCAACATGCAACCCTGTAGCAGCTGAGAACCTAAGGGGAGGAAGCTGAAAAACCAAGGTTACCATAATGGAGAATTATCCAACGTACCAACTCACAAGTAACTCAATTATTTTACCTGGCAAACTTCTACAAGGGCAACATCTGCTTTTACTGTTTACCAAAAGCCAGTACATAAACTAAACTAAACACTTCAAGCATCTCAAATCCCATCACAGTGGTTCTTCTAAAGAAATTCTGCTCTGGGTAGAGGTGCCATGATAAACAATACTGTTCCAATTGTTACATTCTTTTAATATGTCCTATTGAAAATGACAAGCATCAAGCATCACAGCTATTAAGCTGGAAGTTAGACTGTTCATCATATTGCCAAGCCTAAAATACTGTGTCCATCTGAGTGCTGAATGACTGCCCACTATAATAATCACACGCCATACGCACAATACCTGTGACATACAGAGCCATAACTGAAGTTCATAGTTTTAAATTCTGATTCCAGACAA